ATGTAAATGCAATTACTTCGAAAAAAAGATTAATCAAGTAAATGACAAAGTTAAAAATATGCATTTTAGTAATTTATGTGACAACTGGCATGTCGAGGAGTTTTACGCAGCTCTGTAGCCAATGCCGACAACTGAGTGGTATCGGGAAAAATAGGGAAGACACGCGTATTTTTAAGAGGAAGAAAGACGTAAAAGCGAAGAGCTTGAAAAGCTGTCAGGCACACATTTTAGTATCGAGAAAGAGTAGATCTATTCGCTGTGCGAACAGCCAAAAAGCGTTTTCAGAAATTTTACCTCTTTCGAAAGACACTTTACATGCAAGATGTGATTGCCCATGCAACTGCTTTCTTAAATTTCCCTATGTGACAGCTTTTTCGAAATATATTGCATTGCCACGTGTGACAAGCTCTTTAGGCTCTTTTTTATTTTCCTTATTAGATTCGACAACAAGCAATAGGTTTGATCCTTGCTTTGTTGTTAGTTTATAAGGCAATTCTGCCTTAGATAGTTGCAAGACTTTTGTAAAACAGTTGAAAGATTTAAAACAAAGTTCCCTTGCCAAATTTCATATTGAAAAGCTCGATTGGCGGAAAGCACTTGAGCATATTCCAAATTGAGATGTACATAGGTAGTTACACTACTTGCGCTGTAGTTATATTACTCGCGCTGCTAGAACAGTCGCAATCGCAGACTGAGCAAAACACGAGAGATGCGATACACGAATCCTCGGACAGCGGAATTTTTTTCGTTGTTTTAGTAATTTTTTTTTCTTTTTTTCAATTTTCTTTTTTCAGTAAGCAGCATTATTACTTTTTTGAAAAGAAAATGTTGTATTTTTTAAATTTATTTTAATTTTTAGAAACTTATTTGATGTATTATTTATTTATTTTTTTCCTTTTTAATTTGGTTACTTTTATTTTTTCGATCTTATTCTTTTAAAAATAAAAATACTTGTTAATTTCATTTAATTTTTAGAAACTTTTTTTATATATTTTTTTTTTATGGAATTAGTTTTCCCATTTTTTAATTATTTTCTTTTTTAAATATTTTTAATTTCATGTAATTTTCATTATTTTATTTGTACTTTATTTATTATTTTTTCCTTTTCAATTTAGTTTTATTTTAATATTTAGTTTTTATTATTTTAAAAAGAATTTTTTTCTATCAATAAAATTTTTAGAAAACTTATTGCTAAAAGACAAACCGAATAACGCTAAGACCTAAGACATCCTCTTTAGTAGATAGTAGGTAAAGATAGTTGCCCTAATTGACAATTATCTTACGAAAACCTTCTGTCTTTCGAAAGACTGTGTTACGTTGAAAAACTGTCACTAGAACTGCCCTTTTAGTGCCCAAATAGTTTTGGGTTGTAGTAGTTTTTGCTATTCCGAAAACGATGTTGTTGTAATTTTTATTGACGTTGTTTTTGTATGGCTAGATTTGTTGGGCACAAACCTGATCTACAGTGTTATGGTACCAATTAACGGGTCACAGTTTGTGATAATCTTTACGTTTTGAATACATACATATGAAAACATACGCAAGTAAATTCGATTTGCAATTGGTAATTATACTAACCAACTCTGCCGCATAGATGAGTATGTTAATGGCTTCTCTACTTTGCTTTTTCAAAGCTCGCGCCTCGGCCAGGGTGCGCTGGGTTAAGCGTCGTTTAAGCTTGCGCGAGAATCGCCGACCGTGATGAATTGCTTTTATGGCGCNACATATAAAATTTTGCAAGTATGTACAGTGACTCAAACAAATGACCACGTGTTGATATATATATATTTTGAATATACGTAATGTTTTTCGAGCTAATTTTTTTTGTTATTTTTCTATTAAAATACCGTCCAAGCTTTACCATGCGAGTCAAACTTTATACACAATTTTGGAAAATTCGACAAATTTTTATCAAAATATAAACTTTTTAATTTGAATCTTTAGAGTATTTTTGGGTATGCAGTTATATAGCCCATACAATTTTTGCCTAATGAAGTACAAGTTTGAAACGGCTAAAAACTACGGTTTATTTTTCATAGTTTTTTTGGTGATGGATTTTTGCACTTTTTTCCATGTAAACATGAATTTCTTATTAAATAAAATGCCGTAGACCGTTAGCCATAGAATTTCAAAAAGCCATCGCCAATTTTTGTTAATTGCAGGTGTTACATAAAAAAAACCGCAAAAGCAGTCTAAAAAAATGCTCAAAAGTCAAGGCCATTTTTTAGTCGGTCGAAACTTGCCCTTAATTAGGCAACAATTTTTTGATGTAATGTGGAACAATTTTCCGTCATCGCTTGTCAAATTCGGTTTGGAGACAAACCGGTTTCGACGTGGGCCATCTTCAGTGTCATTTTTTGTTCTAACGAGAACACCAACAACGAAAATGAAACAAAAATTTTGGGCTATAAAACTACACACCCAAAAATGTTCTAGAGATTAGAATTAGAAAGATGTAACTTTGATGAAAGCTTGTTGAATTTTCCAAAATTTTGTATAAAGTTTGATTTATGCGGTTTTGGTTAAAACTTCGACGGTATTTTTATGGAAAAACAACAACAAAAATTTAGCTCAAAAAACATTATGAATATTTAAAAAAAAAACGAGTCACGGTTTGTTTGAGTCACTGTATATATAAACTAAACTACACTAAAAGTCATTGATTTCACCTTACCACGATGGGTAGAATCATTTTTAGAAAGGTTATCAGTCTGTATATATATATTTTTTTGAATTAGGCAGCAACATACAAACAAACGCGAAAAAATTACGTTACGTACACAATTAAAAATATTTCACATGATAACCTCGACATTTTAAAGTCCTATGTATATATGTATGTACATATATAATAATTTTTAAACAAACTTGGTTCTATATTATTGCATGCATATTTTTAAATTTATTCGTAATATTGTTATCTTCTGCGCTAAATGTTTTGCTTTATGGTAATTTTCTAATATTGATTATCTTATTTTGTGCCTAAATCGAAAGCTTTTTGACTAACTCACCGTCCGTTTGATCGCCTGGTATGGGTGTCAAATATTTATCCACGAATTTGTCGCCAACTGTAAAGGCTTCATCCAGTCTTTGTGCGGCATAAGCGGTCAGTTGACTTTCCAAGACGGTGTTACCGATATGTTTAACAGAGTCGGCACGCTTGAGCACCGGTCGCACCAAATGATCGGACATGTACTCCTTTGTGTTCCAATACATCTGTTCTATAGATATTGTTATCGCTTTTGTTGTCGGTATTTTTATCAGTTTTTTTACCGATTTTGCTATCGATATTGCCATCGCTTTTGTTATCGATAGTTTTATCGATTTTTTTATCGAATTTATTACCGATTTTGTAATGGATTTTTTGATAGATTTGGTTATCAATTTTGTTATTGACTTTGGAATCGATTTTGTTATCGATTTTGTAATCGATTTTTC